TTTAGAAACAGTTTTCTTCTCGTTTCAAAAATGACAGATTGTTATAATTACAAATTTGGCCACATTGTGTTTGCAGTCATAATTTGCATTACAATAACAAACATGCATGGGGAAAGAGACACAATGAAATGTCAAATTTTCCTTATCATAGTTTCTTCAAGCACTGTGCTTCGATCATCTGACTTTCATACACCCATTCCAGCATACCAGTAATTGGTGTACGAAATACACCTTCCTTTGGTGGGAAGGAATTTCACAGTATCGATGTCGACAGCGAGTGAAATGCTTCAATGTGAATAGCATGAAATTTCATGTGACGCGAGAATAAATTACAGATTTGAGTAATTCAGTGAACCCATCTACTAGAGCTCTAAAACAAGTCCCGTCCAGTCCCGTCCCGTATCGTATCATATCGTTCTGTCATCAAGTTGAGCAAGATACAAATGATACATCTCCCAGCATGTAAATCCTGAACTAATGAATACTATCCAAAATTATTTTTCAAGTTTAAAAACACCCAGAAAAATAGTTGCCTCAAGAACAATTGCTTCCTTTCTTTTAGAAAATAATTGTTGGTCAATTCAGGTAAATTCAAAAACTTGAAGAAAAAAAAAAAAAAGGTCCGAGCCATAAGCTACAATATTTACAATAATCGAGTTGATGTATTTTTAGCATGGTTTCAATTTATACCAGAATATATTTCGGACCAGTTGAGATGCAGACATGTACATTTCTAAAGAGATAAATTACCAGAGTTAAACTGGTTTTAGCAATGTCCAACTAAAAAAAAACGTAAAACATTAGTGTCTGCGTACCAACTGTTGTGCTGATTTGTATGGTACAAGTTCAGTTTTACACAAGTTTAAAATACTATGGAGTTCAGATACAATAATGAAGATCGCTATGTTTTCAACTGTACCATTCCCAGTCATATGGCACAGCTAAGCTCAATGACTTGGCACCACTCCCCACAGACAAACAATGCAGCAAGTCTCAATTCAATCTCCAAGTCTTTCACAAAGTCAGAATTAAGACTTTTATTTTCAGCGCAAAAGGATTGTATAAAAGCTTTCCAAGTCAAGAGAAATTAATGAAAAGTATAACGAGAATGTTGTTGATGATCAGACTTTTGATGACATTTCTTCCAAACCGAACCCACACCACATAACCTATCCTAATTCATTTACTTCACATCACAATATATGTGAGTACTGTGTAAAATAAGAAACCTGGAGACGAAAACTGAGACGTGTTTAATGGCTGATGATATTATGATAGTCTAATTTGATCTATTTTACACTACTTCATATTTGTCTACAAAAAATGCTACATCTGAGGAATATTTAACAGATCTTTGTTCATCTACCATGCTGACATCAGCAACCTGTTAAGAAAACACACAACAATAAGTTACAGACATTGACCTTGGTATGATGTCATATACATAGATATCATTGTATCCCAGAGAAACACGAACCATAAACACATCAAATGGGAGCAACATCAAAAACAGAAACAAAATGTCATTAACCCACTGAATACCATTTCCCACCACAAAACATTTTTTATAATTTCTGAGTTAATGTTGGACTAAATAGTTTTGTGTTGTCCTCAATTGCCAAAAAAAATATGTGGGTTAAATTTTAGTAATGATGACATTTGTTGAATTTAGCAATCACATTGATAGCGTTCAAGAAGTTGATAGTGTTGATAATGTGCACAGAATATATTGCAAGTTCCAATTAATTTTCTCATCAGGATTCACTACATGAAAATGCTGACAACTATTCCTGGTTGGCTGAGATGCCCAATGCGACAACTGATATTTTCCTCCCAGAATCTTCAGATCATATACAAGGAGCACTTACCTCAATCCCACAGAAAGATTTCCTTGATACAAAGTTGACATTAATTGGAAAGAAATCATTGGGATGTCCAGCTATACTGAATTCTAAAGTGCCAGTCTTATTATTTACATCAATTACTGGTAGTGACCATTCTAATATATTATGACGATGATTATGATGATAATTGCCATCTATTTCACCAATTATTGGTGCACCAACACCAGATCTATAAAAACAGAGAGAATATTTTACAGTCATATGTCATTTTTTTCCCCCAGTGTTTTATTTTTTCCTCCAAATGTCTGTCTGAAATTACTTGCATTATCCATGAAGACACATGCACACAAAGATCAACCATTCATTTAAGAAAGGAATGATGCTCTTCTCTAATGGTTGACTGTAGTATTTCAAGCACAGTGAAAGACACTTCTCTCAGACTCTTCTGGATTCAAGTATGTTTTTATTACCACAAATCATATCTACATCCAAAATTATCATCCTAGTAAGAATTATGAAATTATTTTAATTACTAAAAGTATGCAGTTAACTACAATTTATAAATGAAATTGAGACTGAATGCAGACTACCATCATCACTATATCATATAGAATGGCGTCATCTCAGTTGCAGCATGCAGTTTTATCAACTCGATTGAAACTTGCCATCTACAGCAGTATCATCTCAATGCTAATCAGAGTATCTAATTGCTTTCATGCATAACAGCAATTTGGTGGTTTGTTCACAGACTCAAAGATCATTGCAGCATGGCTCTACAAGATGCTGTTGTAGTGTAGTGAAGGAAGCATGGCTCTACAAGATGCTGTTGTAGTGAAGGAAGCATGACTCTACAAGATGCTGTTGTAGTGTAGTGAAGGAAGCATGGCTCTAGAAGATGCTGTTGTAGTGAAGGAAGCATGACTCTACAAGATGCTGTTGTAGTGTAGGAAGCATGACTCTACAAGATGCTGTTGTAGTGAAGGAAGCATGACTCTACAAGATGCTATTGTAGTGAAGGAAGCATGGCTCTACAAGATGCTGTTGTAGTGAAGGAAGCATGGCTCTACAAGATGCTATTGTAGTGAAGGAAGCATGACTCTACAAGATGCTGTTGTAGTGTAGTGAAGGAAGCATGGCTCTAGAAGATGCTGTTGTAGTGAAGGAAGCATGACTCTACAAGATGCTGTTGTAGTGAAGGAAGCACGACTCTACAAGATGATGTTGGAGTGAAGGAAGCATTCAAATTAGGCAACTGTACATGCAGTAAATTATGTTACACTAACATTATTGCATCTTATTTGATATAACTTTGTTTCAGTTGACATTAGCTAAGGAATCCTGGTTTCATACATATGAAAGGGGGACTGCTACACTTGGTGGAATGAAAAATACACACTCGGGCTTCCACAACCATTTGCCATTTTGCCAAAGGCTACATTTATTGGTAAGTGACTATGCAATAATAAAATTTGCTAAATTCTTTAGTGTATTACTTTTCTATGGTTGGCTGGAATCACATGACAACACAGTGACTTGGTGACCAGTTGAGAGGGAATCCAGCTTCTTGAACCATGCACTAAATAAATAGGTGCAGCATGCATATACAATTTGAAATCAATTCTAGCATCTACAATGCCATCATTTACAGCCACCTGTGTTCAGCATGAGAGTGAATTTGACTAATGCAGTGTTTGCAAGACAATGGTGGTTGTGTTTGCAAGCGATGGTGGTTGTGTTTGCAAGACAAT